CCCAGCTTTGGGATTATTTCATTAATAGTAACTACAGGTAGTCCACGCTTAACAACGGTAACTGGGACCGTTGCTGTTGTTGAGAAAGGATCGTCAGTTGCTAAGTGAGGACCTCCTTGCAACTTCCTGCTGGCTTCCAACGACCAAAGCCTGTGGGGAAGCTGGCAAGAAGTTGCAAGTCCCAGGCAGCTCACAAGCAAGCTGGTGGGCAGGATAAGTGGCTGCTGCTGGGGGGGGGAGAGGGCCAGGGGGCCGCAGCGGCACACACAACCAATTTCAGGCCCAGGGCTGGCTGCTGAATCCACTGAAATACAACTGTGAGTTGGACCACAACTTTCATGTTCATCATGCTTCTATTTAAACCTGCTTCCAGTCAGCTTTCAAGCCAGGATACAGTACTGAGGCAGCTTTGGTTACACTTGCAGCTCAGAATGGAGATAGTGGATCCACCCTAGTCCACCTTGACTTTTTGATGGCCTTCAATACCATTGACCATAGTATACTTCTGGACCTGCTTAGAGGGTTGGGTGTGGGGGGCACTGTTTTGCAGTAGTTCGCCTCCTTCCTCCAGGGCCAGTTCCAGTTGACGTTGAGGGAGTGGTCTAGTCCTAGACCCCTGCTTTATGGGGGAATGCAGGACTCTCCTCTCTCCTTTTTAACATGAATGAAGGTGCTAGCAGAGGTTATCCATCTGCATGGGCATGGTATCATTAGTATGTTGATGATACGCAATTGTACATCTCTGACCCGGCCACCCAAGTGAAGTTGTCAAGGTTCTGTTCTAGTGTCTGGGGGCTGTGGGGATCTGGATGGGGAAGAACAGGCTTCGGCTCAACCCTTCCAAGATTGAGCATCTATGGGATTTGGGCTCTGCAGGTCCTGGAACTGGAGATTCTACCCTTGACTCTGAGCAGAGCTGCACTGCCCTGCTCAGATTCAGTACACAAGTTGGGAGTCCTCCTGGCTGCACAGGTCCTCCTGGAACAGCAGATGGCAGCTATGGCCAGGGGCTTTTGCACTTTGTCATGCTCCAATTGCACTCATTCCTGGACAGGGAAGCACTTCTCACAGTCACGCATGCCTTAGTTACCTCCCGATTGGATTATTGCAACGTGCTGTACTTGGCACTGCCCCTGTAGACCATCTGGAAGCTTTAACTGGTCCAGAACACAGTAGCATGAGTAGTTACGGACATTCCTTATCGTGCCCAATGTGACATTTCCACCCTTTAGCTGCACTGTCTCCCAATTGGTTTCTGGATGCAATTCAAGATGCTGGCTATCACCTATAAAGCCCTACATGGCATAGGACTGGATTATTTGGGGGACTGCCTGCTCTGAGGGGAACAGGCCATCCCACACTAACAAGGAGGGCATACTCCAGGTCATCTCATTGAAACAATTACACCTTGTAAGACCTCAGAGGCATGCCTTCTCAGGGGCAGCCTGTTTTTTTGGAATGATCTGCCCCCATGATATACAGTTGACCCCAATCCTGTGGACCTTTAGAGAAGACATGGTCCTTTTCCCAAGCTTTTCAGGTCAGTCCCAATTGGATAAGTAGCACAATATTTTAGCCTGGTTGTCATTTTACTGTTTTAGTGAGTTTTAATGCATTGTGTGGTTTTCCTTACATTGCATTTGCTGTGTATGCTTTCTTTCTTGTACACCACCCAGAGTCATGCTGTTTGAGTTGAGCAGCCATATAAATGTTATAAATAAAATAATAAATTGATTGATGTGTAGGTAAAGGCATGAGATAATAATATATTGACCAGTCACTTTGGTGATGCTTTCAAGACCCAGCTTAATGCACAAACATTAGATGCTCCTGAAAACTTTGAAAAGCCCATTTTTGTCTGACCTGGCCAGGATTTGTTTTGGATTAGTATTCAAGGGCATCTTTACATATATAGTCAAACCATAGCCAAATTCCATGAAATGCTTGGAAATTTGGGATGCCTTTTTGTATAGTATTTTATCCTTTTATAAATATACCTTGTTTGGTGTAAACAAAAATGGGTTAGCTAGAGGCTTTTCTTCATGACAAGGCCAGAATTTTAACGTTAGTTTCTCATATACTCACAAAATGTCTTGCTTTCCCGCTATTTTTTATATTAGGATTACAAAGAAGAGAACTCTAATTTAGGATTTTCTCATTATAATTTCTTCATAATTTTTCTATATGTTGCAAGAGGCATGAAATTGTACCCACTCTTTCTCTCTATGTCACACCCACACCCATATATATATACATGTACAGGTAATCTTGCTTAACGACCATTCGTTTATGATGGACTGGAGTTACAACCGCCTTGGGGAAAGTGCTTTACAACCCCTGCGGTCACATGATCACAATTTGCAACCTTTTTTACGACTCTCATTAAATGAATCACCACGGTTGTTAAGCGAATCACCACGGTCGTTAAGCGAATTCCAGCAAAAAATGTGCATTGGGGAAGCTGGATTCGCTTAATGGCTGCAGCTTAACGGCTGCAGTGATTCGCTTAATGGCTGTGATTCGTTTAATGACTGTTGTAAAAAAGGTCATAAAATCAGCTCCCATTCGCTTAATGACCAAATTGCTTAGCGACCTAAATTCTGGTCCCTATTGTGGTCAGATAGTGAGGACTACCTGTACATATGTATACATACATACATACATACATAATACAGTACATACATACATATACATAGATACATACACGCACCTGTGTGGGTCATTCAAATAAAGAAATTATGGGGATTTTCTCTAGCACCCATGGCTCTGAGCTGCACTGCAGAGGTGAATTTGTGGAAAAAAAATAATACGCTATTACTATTAATCAATCTGACACACTAAACATTCATATAGCTTTAAAGGAAATGTAAACTTGAACAGCTATGTTTTCCATTAAAATACTCCACATTTTAATCTCATCCTCCTCTATAACCAACATCTTGACTAGAGAGAAAAAGAGATATGTAATTGCCAGGAAGTAGTTCAGATCTTTGCATACTCTTTGAGAATCATCTCGAGTTTATGACTGAGCAGAATATTGCCCTTCACCTTCACCTTGCCAATTAGAAAAGCCTTCTGGGGCTTTATCTTGCCCAAAGCAAGCTCCATGAAATCATGATCAGAGAGAATGAAAACCGTGTTGGCAGGCTTGTGAGATACTCCTGGATAGATCTCACCAGAACCAGTCTTCAGATCTAGGGTCCACTGGGCCACAATCTTTCCTCCATTCATGATGTCCCACTGAAAGACAGCATTCACCTTTTTTACAAGTTGACTGCCAACGCCTTTGATGCGGCGACCAATTTCCTCAAAAATAAGATCACTCTGAAGCCCAGTGCCTTTTGGTGAAGAATTTGTAGATGCCATCAGAGGTGGATACAAATCTGAAGCAACAGTTTGTTCACTTGTGTTGATTTTCATTTGAAGACACTGTTTCTGTCTTTCTTTCCACATCTTCTTTTATAAATGTTTGAAGAATGAGCAATTGTTCTATCACTTTGGATATAAGAGCTAGGGGTGTTACCATACCTCCTTGTTTCACAAACAGCATTTACATTAATAAAATGAAGTAGAAATCATTGTTGGGTGGACACATTGTGCAATCAGATATGATAGCCAGTCAGCATCAAGATTTAGTTGGTTTGTATGCTGTAATCTCATTGGTGGATATACTTTATTGTAATAGACAGGATTTCTTACAGTTAAAGGTATGTGTGTGTGTGCATGTGTATACAATGTGTATACAGATTGTGTGCCTACATAATTGTGTTTTAATGAAGATATTTTTGCCATGCATTTTGCCTAAATTCTCAATAAAATTTAAAATTTTTTGAAGAATTTTGACTATATGAAGCCTGGGGGTTGGCAAAAATATTATTTATGTAGATGTAAAAAATGTAATACTCCTTGATATTAAGGAATGGGTTCAAGTTATGAGTCCTTTATCGATTTTGTTGAAATGTCTTCATATTCTAAAAATGAGAAAATGGAACAATGTATTTTGGTATGGTCTAAATTTAGTAATACTATTAAGGTTTGAAGTAATTTCATATTGATATTTATTTATTTAACATATTTATAAAGCCACCCAACTCCAGATGGCTCTGGGAGATGAACAGGAATAAAAATGGGAAAGATGAAAGACAATCAATGAAAGACAATAATTAACTCAGAGGTAAAACCCCATGTTCTTCTAACATAATCACATTTTCAAGGAGCCAAAAAGCCTGGGAAGAGCCAGGTCCCAAGGGTCCACCTAAAGGAGAGCAGGGTGGAGGTCCTTTGGACTTCAGGGAATACTATTCCAGAGGGCAAGCACCACAACAGAGGAGACCTGCTTCCTGGGTCCCATCAGATGGCATCTTCAGGACCCAGAACATGCCAACTCTGACTGCACAGGATAGGCAGAAACCATGGGGGACAGATGGGCCCTCAAATAACTAGGCCTTATGCAGTGTAAGGCTTTATAGGTGATAACCAGCACCTTGAATTGCACCTAAACTTTATTGGTAACCAGTGCAGCTTGTGGAGCAGAGGTGTTACATGGGCATACTAAGACTTGCCCATTACTGTGCATGCTGCTGCATTTTGGATTAGCTCAGTTTCTGAGTGGTCTTCAGGGCAGCCCCATATAGAATACATTGCAATAGTCCACACATGATGTGAACAAGCACGAATGACTGTGAGGAAGGCCCCCCAGACCAGAAACAGTCCAACTCGTGCACAAGATGGATCTGTGCAAAGGCCCTTCTGGTTACAGCTTCCTCTTGCTCTTTGAGGAGGAGCATGGAGTTCAGAAGGAACCCCAGATTGCATACTAATTTCAAATGGGGAAGTGCACTATTGTCTAGAACTATAGGTGGAAAGTCCCCAGACACTGATTCTCCCAGTACCCGCAGCCCCTCGCTCTTGCTAGGATTGAACCTGTACCTGTTTCTTCCCCATCCAAACCCCAACAACCTCCAAGTACTGAGATATGATCTATAAGCATCACTTGGACAGCCAGGGGTCAAAATGTACAGGTGAATACCATTAGTACACTGATAACACCTGACCCTGAAATCAATGGAAGACCTCACTCAGCAGCCTCACGTGAATGTTAAACAGGAGAGGTGAGAGCATCAAACTCTGTTGCACCCTGCAGATGTAGAGAGTAAGGAAGATGACCTTGACAGAGTTTTGCAAGATCTGTTACCAAACAACAAGGGGCGAAATATACCTTAAGCCCATAACAGGCAGAAAATATGTGGAAGATACTCAGACACCTCCCTAATTCACAAGACTATAAGAAGGGGGAGGAGGTACAGGACAACTGGACTTGCAAGATAATATTATTAAAGCCACTCTTAATAAAAGTAATTTTAGCCTTCCTGTAGAGCCTTTCTACCTGGTGGGGCTGACATCAGTTCAGGGGCTTTGGGCTTGATCTCGCCTGTCCTGTCAACACTACTGGAATTGGCCACTTAGAAAGGAGCAGAGCCACCTCAGAACAGTACCTCTTACTCCCAATCCCTGTAAACAGTCCAGAAGGATACCATAGACTGCTGAGAGATCAAGGACCAATATGGTCCTTCAGATGTTGTGGAATCACAACTTCCTCAAATCCTAATTAGCATGACTAGTACTGAAGAAAGATAAAGTGTTGTACTTTAATAGTATATGGCCAGAGCCACTTCAAACTGGACCAGCATCCAAAATGATCTGAGTTCCGATTTTCAACTTAAACTTTGGAGTTTGCTGCTATCTCCAAACAACAGGCTTAAAATTGCTAATTGTAATGCAAGCAAAATGCCTGGAAATCAGAGTGTTTTAAGACTTGTCTCAAAAACAGCCTACTAAGGACTGTAGTTCTAAAAAAGTTCTTTCCCAGTTCAGCCACTTTGATACATATCAGTCAGTACTTTATACGAAGACCTTACACCTAAAATATAGTGTTTCTTGCTTAAAACCCTCAAGCTGTATCAATAAGGAAGCATGGTTGACAAGGAGTATAAGAGAGAGGGGGGGAGTAAACTTTAGAAACGAATGACCAATTTAAATAAATATGTATTGTAGCAGCAGAAAGGGAGAATGCACTTGGAGTGGATAGACCTAGTTATTTCAGTCTGTTTCACCACTCTGTGCCTGTTCCATAAGCCTATAATTTCCCAGTTCCATGTTTGTCAGCATGGAAAGATCTGCATAGAATATTACATTTAAAATATTTAAATAATATTTTAAATGTAATTTATCAGCAAAGGTATATTTAAAAACATTTTCCTTATCTCAAAATACCAGTTGTTAAATGCATCCTGCTCTTTTAGAAGCAAAACTTACTTGCGAAAGATACCTATCACTTAATAAACGTATTTGTCTCTGAAGGCAGATCAGATGAGACAGCTCAGTTCAGTTTACATCTGAATTCACAATGTCAGAAATTTTCAAATACTCCTAGTCTGTACTTCTTTCAAAGAATTAAATGCATACATGAAAGCAAAAGATTTGAAAATAGCAAGTTCATAACTTTAATGGCAAGAGGTTATTTTTGTGAACTCTGGGCCATTCTAAACATTTAGCAGACAATATTTATCTGCCAAATGTTCAGCAGGCAGTTTTACTAATTCTGGCTCATTGACAAGAACATCTATAATATATAT